GCTTGGGTGAAAAATATTCCCGTGGCCAGCTCCGTGCTGTCGGGACCCGCCTGCACGGCCGGTAGGGGGGCACGCCGGAACAGGACGGGGGTTATTTGGGCTAACCCAGGTGAGGCGACCCCCCGGCGGAGCAGCCCTCCGTCGTGCCTGGGGCTGAGTGACTTGCTGCTCCTAAACCATTGCTTCTGATCCTCCTCGCCCTGTGGTCAGGCTGAAAACCTGTCACCTCTCCTCACCCTCTGTTTCCTCCACGACTTCATTCTCCAGCTTCAGAAACGTCTCTCACTGCCAGTGGCTATATCTATCCTAATAAATTAAACAAGCCCTTAGTGCCAGAACGTAGAGAGTCAGTGGCTTGTCTCCCCGAGGCAAACCACTTTATTATTGCCACTTCCCCCAGCGCAGAATCATTCAGCTAGCAGAGGCTGATGACCATTGCCATGTCTTGCACAGTGCCGTGGCACTGCTTGGAAGAGAGCTGGCTGGCAAAAGCCCAGCTTGTACAGAGAGTGGGCTAACAACTAAATGGGCTAATCAAATTCAGTCTAATATTTGAGTGCATATGCTGGTCACGTTTACTTTTGCTAGTGTAGCATCCTTGCCCTAGGACTGAGCTTTGGCCACAGGATTTACAGCTACCTTTTAAAAGCCATGATTCTATTTTTGATCTCTGATATTCTACTTTCACTTCAAAGTATCAGGTTTTGCACTGTTAAAGTACCTGTAGATGTGCAGAATCCGTATCTGTTCATTACTTCATGTGATCCCTTGCCTATTTATTCAGCTCCTTTTCCTGATTCAGAATAAAGGAGCACAAGCATCAGGCAGATCTGGCCAAGCTAGAAGACAAAAGAGAAGGAGAACAAATACAGAGATTGAATCAATTGTACCACTTGGAACTTCGGAGAAGAATGGAAAAGGAACAGGAGGAAAAAGTTGAACGCCAGAGGTTGTATCATGTAAGTAACAGGAAAGCAGACGGTTCAAAATGCTTGTTTCACCTTGGCTGCCTGGAGTGAAATAACAGCATTCCTATTTCTAAATGGGCCTCCTGGCAACAGGAGGTTTGCTGACAGCTCTGCTAGCATTGGATCATACGCCTGCCCTGCCAGTTGCAGGCCCTGTCTTTCCTCTGGGCTTTTGAGAAAGGCCTCTTGGAAGTTGTAACGTGGCACCTGAGCTTTGACTGGTCTGTGATGGAAAAGGCCTGCTATAGACAGCAAGGAGATGGCCCTTGACTTGAGAACTGGATTTGACTTCCATATACCTGCTCTATTTTAAGCCCATTTTTTTCTTTGTGACAAAGAAGGAATAGACTGACTCTGAACATAACATCTTTTAAACTTGTCTTTCCCTTAATGATTGGAGAGTTTTAGAAATTTAGTCAAGACCTACTTACCACACCTACTGTTTCCCTCCCCATGCTTGCTTGAGCAGAGAGACTGAAGTGGATGTACTGTTACGATTCATTGGCATGTGAGAGAGTAAAAGGAGAGAATTCCCACTGAAACCCTACTTGCTTTTTTCCCTCCCATTCTCCTACTTGCTGCAATTACACAAATTTTACCCCATTTGCCACCAACCTTGTATATGCAATAAAAGCTCTATATGCTCATAACTGCCATTTCTGCATGATTACAAAATGCCTTGTGCCCTACATTTTTATGTTTCTATGGACTCTTACTGTTTGAACCCTTCAGTGCTGTGTGAATGATACACAGGATGGGAACATTACAGTTGGAGCCAGTGAGGAAGTAGAGAAAAGAATATAACTTAAAGATACTGCACTTGGGGCTGCAACCACATACTAATTTTACTTTACTTTGTGGTAAGTAGGTCATGAGAATTCTCTTTCATCTCTGGGTTTCTATCTTCTATAGCTTGTCCACTGATACAACCGAAGAACTCTTTTATTATAGGCTAGGCCTGGAGTCTTTACTACATTTTTTTTTTCCAGTTCATGTTTCTAAACTGCCATTCTATATAAAAATAAAAGTACTCTTCCATTTAAATAGGAGTATGTAACTGAACAGAAAATAATTAAAACTGAAGAGAAACAAAAATAAGACAAAGATGATGATTGGATTAAAGCTTATATTAAAGGAAAAGAAATGATGGCTGATCTGACAAGAGAAAAAGATGCAAAGACTAATAGGTGGTTCTGGGGCTACCGTTTTCAGCATTAAGATTCACTTGCAATTTAATTTTGTGACAAATGCTACACTGAATTTTTATATCAGCAAAATCAGAACTTTGTAATGCAAGCGGTTTTTCTGTAATTAAAACTTCAAAAAGTAGAAACTCCAGAAGAAATGCCTACCAGTTCCAGTAGTAATTGGTGCTGTCGGGGGTGGAAGTGGGATTGCTGGCTTTCTTAGGAGCAGTGCCTCAGGCAATCTGAGTGGATATCTTGGCATGTTACGATAACTCATGTTCTCCTGCAGGCTAATGCAGGAGCATAAGGACAAAGCTTTTGAACAACTAACACACAGGTGAATGAGGCACGTAAGACTGAAGAGGATTGTCTTGCTAGAGGAGCTGCAGAGGTAGAAGATGAATACCAAATGAAAAACAAAGAGAAAGAAGGAAAGAAAAAAAAAGGCAGCCATTGAATCTATTGCTGAACTTAGAGCCACTGTGATAAGAAACCCAGACTGTTCTTATTCCTCTTTCTGTCATATACTTGTACTTCTGAATACCATTTAGAAACACCATAGATTCTAGCACAGTTGTCTTGAATGAAATGCAAATGCAAGTCCTCATGTAGCAGCTGCCTCTCATATTTACTACCTATAGTTTCAGAACTAACTCCTTAAGGAAGGTGCAAGTGGTACATGTGATGATCCTCTCAAAAAAATAGAGTTGGAAGGCTCTATAATTTTTGGTAATTTGTGCAAACATTTTTCAGACTCTGCACTGCTTATGCCAGCTGGAGGAGCCTGGCCCAGATCACAGCTCATGATCAGGTCTGCTGACATCTTACCTGGGGTCTTTTCTCCCTGTCCCACTTCTGTGTTGGGTGCGCATCTGCCACAGCTGCTGAAAACTCTGACCTTGGGCACTGGCCAGCCACAATGACCGTGCTTATCAGAACACTGACAGAGGGCTGCTTCTGCTGAAAGATATGGCTTCCAGCTTAGCAGGCTAGCTCCTTGATTAACTTTTTTTTGTCTATTTTGTAAAATACAGACGAAGATTAAAGTGGAAAACAAGAGAGAGGAAAAAGCAGAGGATGAAAAGGATTGTACTCAGTGGATGACAGCAGATCCTATCTACTTGGAAATGGAAAAAGCCAATAAGCAAAGACAAAATGATGCAAATATGGAAAATTCAGATCTAGCGAATGGTAAATAGCAGAGCTGAACCCTGTCAGCCCCTTCAGAAAGAAGCACACATCTAAACCCATAGTACTAGATCTCCTGAGTAGAAGAGAAAGAGGAAGCTTGCTGTGGGTGTGATGTGTGTGTTTCATTTGGTTTTTTTACCTGTGTGCACCACAGGTGCTGATGTTCGGGACCAACCTCCTTTCAGAGCAGCAGCACAGAAGCCTCTTCCAGGCTGACTTGGCCCATGCTGGTTGGGGGGGGATTACCTGGGAGGGCTGGTGATAAAGAAAGAGATTAACAGTGACAGATCACATCCTGTCCTGTGTCATTATGCCATTTTTTCAACCATGCCACTACTGCTCTCTTGTATCTCCTGGGCAGGTCACCAAAGAGCAGCAGCTGATGCTGATGTTCACTCAGCTATTCAATGTACCCTTTTTGTGGGGGATATGGTGGGAAGAGAAGCGGGCAGGGAAGATATTTGACAAATAACAACTAATATCCCTTTTCTTCATCAGGCTGAAGGGCAGGCAAAAAAAACAAGCAGGAGAAGCAAGCAGATGCAGACTATGATTCTCAGAGGGAGGCTGCTTTTTGTAAGGATCAAGCATTTCAGCAATAAAGATGGTGAGTAATTGAATCAGTGCCATTACTGGATGTAATTTTTATTCTCCTCTGAAAGCACCCAAGGCGGGAACAAAATGTGGGCTTCCTAACTAGGACAACTGCAAGAGTGGCAGAGTGTATATGTATGCAGTATTTAAAAAAACAACCAACCAAAAGACAACAAAAAACCCTCAGAGGGACTGAAACAGAGACCTTAAACTGCATTTTTTCCAAACCTGTAACATAACTCTGGAAGTAGAGCAGCAACTTACGTTTGAATGTGTGGGCCCACAAGGTCCAGCATGGTATTGTCCCAACAGTAACACAACTGGTACCTGGGTGGCTACGGTACCCATGTAAGACAGTACTGTCTTGACGGATATAATACAACTCCTACCTAGGAAATGGAAGAGGCTTTCTAAAATGCCTCATATCCTAAGGGAATTTGAGTTAACTCACTTCCAGTTCTTCACTGTTAGGTAGTGTTTCAGGTTGGAGTTATTAGTTCTGTTCAAGTTCTTTTAACATTACAGTCTTTGCTACTGCTTAGCTCTGAGGAATTTTGAAGGGGACACCTACCTGGAAACAAACTACCCAGGAACAGAAGAACTGGGGCTGTGGGACTCTTATGGATGGACATTTCATGTCCCAATACAGACTGGCTGTATGCTCCTGAAAAAGAAAAGAAAAAAAATTTTTCAAAGCTTACTGGTCATGTTAGGTCAAATAACTTGTGCTGTTTCGATAGCTACATTCTTTCAGATGCCTGTTACTAACTTGTGCCTTTCTGGTATCTCTTGAATGGAAAAATGCTGTAACTAATTTGTAATCTTCCTCCTGGCTCTGCCAGTGCACCCTTGTCTCTGATGCTGAATCTTCCTTCTTGTTCTGGCAGTGCATCTTTGACAGAAGGAAAATTCACTACTTATAAATAGCAAACCAACCCCAACACAAAAGAAAACCCTCATCTCTGAAGGCTAAGACTTCAGAGGGAGTTGAGGTGAAGGCCAGAGGTGCAACAAGACCAGATGAGATGTTGTCTTTGGAATAATCTTAAATTAATGAATTTCTATTTAAAATAAATGAAGTTGTGCTATAGGCTTTGTTAAACTTGTAATGTGTGTAGTCATTCCCTTTACACTCCTGCACTGCCACCACTACAATCTAAACTTCTCTGTCTTGGTGTATCATGGCCTTTGGCATTAAGAACTAGATACACAAGTGGATACATAAATGATTCAAACCTGTCCTCTGATCTGTTAAACAAATCCTTAGAAAGCAGTCTTAAAGCATAGTTGTTCACAGCTGGTTGATATGGTCTTGCATAAACCAGCAAGATGCTTTCTTTTTCTGTGGGTTTCCTCATCTCCAATATGTTATCCAGAGAAATGCACAATTCTGTTAGGTGCTGAAGGACTTGAACATCAGAACTGCAGGTCCAATAAAATTCAACATTACATCTCTGTTAACCATGATAGTAATTGCACCCCTCAAATAAGTAGCACCTGGTCTGACTCCTTTTCTATGTAAAGGAAAAACAGGCAAAGGTTAGAAAGCAGCAATGTGTTCTTGAAGAAGCAATAGTTACTGAGCAGACCAGAGACAGGATCAAAGGTACGAGACTGCCAAGATCTGGGAAATACAAACCCAGCAACTGGTGCAGGGGCATAGTGGACAAGTGAGAAATTGGACTACGATTGGTAAAGCTTGTAGTACATTACTGCTATAGGACAAGTATTTCTGCATTAGATTCAGTTACAACCTATCTGCATATACAATTAAATGTAGTTACTAATTATACAGTAAGACTTAAACTCTGTTTCTTTTTTCTCCAGAAACACATCTGACAACTACAGAAGTATCTACTAAGGAATAAGCAGCTAGCCAACGTCTCCTTACAAGTTCTATGTGGCTGCAAAACCTGTCAGTGCCCGACAGCTGGAGCAAGTTACAAGGCATGCTATTTGACAGAACCTGCCTATGCTCAACTTCAGCTCAAAAAACCAAATACTGTAGCTACAGCCATTGCTTGCAGCTGTAGCTACTCTAGTTATATTATGGAACAAAGCAGTAGATTCATGTTCTAGGAAGTCGAGGCAACAACCAAAAGGTAAACTATTAATTCATCTGTACTGTACTCCTCAAGTATTGCTGGGCCTCCAAGCTTAATTCAAACCTTATGTTTTTTCTTTAAAAAAATTCTTACTGAGCAAATAACAAAATTGAGTAAGCTGTTTAAAAACATCTGCCTGTAACAACAAGATCAATGTTGAGCGTACCTTTTACTTGTGACAGGTTTCTACTTTTACTTTGGAGAATGCAAGGGAAGATAGGAATACTATCTTGAGAAAGTTGTGGCACTGCCTGAGTCTTTAATCCTCTATGGGAAAGAGATGTCTGCAGCAAGACTGGGTGGATCTAGCACTGGAGTTTCTAAACTGACTGTAGGGAATGGGAAAAGCACTTACCTGCTTTCTAAGCACTCTGCTGCCAGCACAGCCAGGTTGCCAGGCTGGGATACTGGTGTAGGTGACTTTTTGATCAAAACTTGTTCTTTCACTCAGTTCTAAGCTGACTGTAAGCTGTCCTACCACTACATTTAAATTCACATCATCAAACAGGTAGTTCTTCTGAAACTAGTGAAAACTGTTCTGCTTCTCACACACACACACACACACGACTTGTATCTGTGCAAGTACAAGATCAAAGTTTGCAACTAGAAAAAAAATCAGTGGTAAGACACTAGATCAGCTTCGTTACGTGGCTGCATTTTTATATATGTTACAGTATAGAGATAGTGAATATACTGTCATTTGTCAGTCTGTAGTAGAAACTGTAATTCCATCTATCACAACACTATCATCCAATTTAGCATGGAATAAAAATCTGACTATTCACATCTTCAGTAAAAATTTATAGATCTTGGTTTAACTGAAGAGGTAGTGTCCTGACATCAAATCACCACACCTTGTAAATCTGTACCAACAGTACTGCCACTTTAAAAGGCTGGAGTTTTGACACTCAAAAGCACATTTACACAACAGGTTGCACTGTATAACACAGAAGCAAGTATTACTCTAAATACAGAAGACACTAAGTAATACTGCAGGAAGCACACATGGCAGACATATGGAATACACTAACAAATATGCAAAAAAAAGCATTTATTTCCAAGAGGTTCTTTAATACACAAGTTGTACATTTCATACCAAGAACTCATTCCCCCAGCTGACAACTGGATCGTCTTCCCTTGCTGGGAACTATAAATTACAACATGTCCAAAAGACTGAGGTTTCCAAATACTTTGCTAATTACTACATGCATAATACTGCCTATATAATTAACCACAAATCTTTTAGCTGGTGAGGGAAACCAGTTATCAGCTAGTGCCTCTTAACCACTGATCATAAATTAATAGGCCTAACTTCTCTCCAATCCTTCCAACCATTCTTTTCATTAGCAGTTATGGCTAGAGCCACATACTTAGTACTTTTTATATAGTTATAGGGATATGTTCAGGATATGTAGAAATGTCTAACTTGCTGCCAAAAATAGCAAGTTTCCTTAAGTGCTTTGCATGTTGCAAAATTTCAATTCAAAGTCAGGGTGCTGCATTAGTTCAGTTTATTTAGTCCTTTTAATGTTAAGTGTTAGAACTTTCATGAATACAAATATAAATTTTAAACCAATGACATGCATATTTAGCAGTTTAAGATCTGTCCTCTGAACTTACTCATGTTAACTGCCCTATTAGTTTTTTTTTTGAACAATGACTTTATGATTAAGGACACAAATTTAATTCTTTAACGAAGTGTACCTTTACCCTTACGTAGTTTTACTATATAAACTCACCACTTCTATTTATTTTATTACTGCTATTCCTTTTGTGAAATTTCAGACTAAAATTAGAAAACTTGTATTGGTATGATAGCTTTTTTTTTTTTTAAAAGCAGGTGAATATTACTTTTTGCGTTTATGCAACACAAGTTTTGTTAGAACCACATTCCTAATAACAAGAATTGTTCAAGGACAAGAAATAAGAATTATAGTGTAAGTACATGTGCAACAAAATGGAAAGCTAAAGTTTTATGCTAGGCAATTGCAGAATTGTACCAAATTCAAATTTTGCAAAATGCAGAGTTCACAGATTTTTTGATATGTGTTTCCTTGAATAATTTAGTTAAATACTGCATTAGGAAAATTACTATTTTCAGCAAAAGAAGGAAAGCGCAATTAACACTTCTTATCACATTGACTCTAGAAGTGTGAAGGTTAATTTTGTCACTGGTATCCTCCAGGTTAAGTTGACCAAAAAAAAAAAAAACCCCGAAAGAATTTAACTCATGGCTGCTGCTAAAGTCCCACTGCCTTTTCTCAAAAAGTTGTTCTTCCAGTATTGGAGAGAGAGAATACGTAGATGACTTAAAAAAGAGGTCTTTGATAAAGTGTAGTATCTATAGCTCTAGGTTTTCTATTATAAGGAAAGTCCTAAAAGCAGGTATATACATTTTTGTCAATCAGACAATCAATGAGTACTATGCCCCTAGAACGTGTGTCCAAAAATACTTTATTTGCTTCAATAAATCAACAATAAATCAACAGTTCCAGGAAAGGCAGCAAAAGGACTGCTTCTTTTATGCTTACATTAATCTAAATCCACTTGCCAGACTGACACTATTACAAATTAGATAGTGTTAGGGGATCACTGCAAATTCTTCAGAGCATCTGACAGAGACCACTGCGAGAAAAGTCCATAGTGTGGCATTCCAAGTAGCAATTGAGAAGTTTCAGGTTAAAATTTTGACAACCAGATAGTACACGGGGTTAAAACGTAACCATAGCCTTTTTTTTATTTTCTTAAAAAAAAAACAAAACAAAACCAAAACACCCTCCAAAAAAACCACCAAAAAACCCCCACCAAAACCAAAGCAACAACTGAAACACTGCTAATTCTTTGACACAACCACAAACAGCAACACATCTTTCTTTTACAGGCAATAGCGTCTACACCACCTTACATTATATCCACCCACCCTCCATAAGAATTTGTGCTTCTGAGTTGATGGCAAGTACCCAAAAAATCCAACATCAAAATAACGGTCTCTTTCTGATAAAGTTTGGAAAGCTACCGACAATACTAAAAATTCAGCAATCCATGTATACATAGGCTGTATGGTGTTAGTAAAATGACAGTACCTATTGTCAATACAACAGAGAACAGATGTCTGCCCTTTGGAAATTATTCAAGCCTGTACATACACTTAAACATATGCTAACAAAGGTAACCCAGTACTCCCTGCCCTCATTTTACCTTGAGTCTCGAGGTTCACAAATTCTCTGCAGTAAGGTCAGTTCTGGGGTACTGACAGAAAAAGCTGTCCTCTAAATGTACTTTTTCCCCCATTCACAAGGAAAGACTGTGAGCATTGCTTTGATCACCTCTGGTACACGTAAGTATTGCTTTCAAATACGCTTCCAGTTCAGTTCTCCAAGCCAAAAGCCAACAACCTGTGACAGAGCTGCCCGAGATGGCACTGAGCTATGCTGCGACTACAGCACGAGGCGGTTACCGTGAGTCTGGGAACAGGAAAGCTCTGCTGCTGGGGGAAGAAACTGTTCCAGGACAGCAAGAGACCCACAAGGCAGCAAGAGTTCACTGGTGCTTGGGGACATCTTCCTGTCCATGGGACTGCGCTTCAGTCCCACTGCATTTTTATCAGCGTTCTCAATTTCCAGTCTGATAAAGAAAAAATCTTCCCTCTTACAAGACTACAGTTGTTGTCTTTCAGTTTAAACAGCGATTGGCACTAAAATTTACCATTAAAGACGACACAGCCGAGGCATGTACTCATCAAGAGATCTAGTGTATCCCACCATGTGCAATTAGAAGTAACCAATTTCTTACAAACTACATTAAAAACAAGAAAATGAGTTTTGTGCCACCAACTCAGGTGAATTTTAATGTGCTAGGAAAGAATTAGAGCTAGTTTAATTTGTACAAATAATTTTCTGAACTGTAACAAAGAAACTCATTGAAGGGCATGCAAGTGCATCTTTTGAAATAACTAGTTACACACAACTGCAAACTACAATTTAATTTAAAATCTCAAAATGGAGATTATATCCAAGACTGTGTAACATTTTTTAACAGTTCCTATGGATTGCCTTATTGCTGACTGCTTACATTTTTTTCCCCCTCTTCTGCAGCAGTCAATGTAGTTGAGGGGGTTTTTTTGTTTGTTCGTATGCTTATATGAGCTTTGGTGGTATTGGCAAGAATATTCTCAGTAGTGGAAACATACTTGTGCAGCAATAGCTTGCTGTGTGTCAGCTCCATAAAAAATAATGAAAGAACACTGCAAACAGACAGTTCTTAAATGAGACTCTGAAGCACACGGCATGCATAGCACAGTATAAACGCACCGAGGAAGCCTTTGTCCAAGCTGCCACATGATTCTCTTAAGCCTAACTTCCCAGTTTTTTTTTACTACAGTCCCCCAAAATAGGACTACAACTTCTCCAAAGTGGCTTCACACAGAACAGCTCCGCTATACAGGTCTTCTGTTCACTCCTAGAAGCTCTCAAGTAACAGCTATATCATCCACCCACACATGCGCTTGGGAAACATTTTTTACACATTCTGCATAAAGTGACCACTGCAGTGCAAAATTCATACTAAAACACAGGAGGGAAAAGCTGACAGCCCAAAGCAGCTCCACAGCAGTTCCACTGTTCTGCTAAAAAGTAACACTGCGCACTTCTAGTTTTCTTCCCTTAAGAAGGTTGCTTATGTTGTTCACGATCTGGTATTTTCTTTTGCTTTCAAGACGTAACTATTTGCTTTAGAAAAACAACTGCCTGGATCACAATATGAAGACAAGTTTCAGCAGTTCTGCTAATCTGCTCTAGACACACACTGATCATAAAGCAGGTTATATAGCAAAAATGTTGGCAAACTCATACCAAAGACAGTAAAAACCAAGTTATGCCATACACTCAAAGAGGTCTGCCAAAAAACTCAACTATAAAAACATTGTTTCATTTTGACACAGCTTTACATTAATGCTTTTCACTTCTCTTCTGGAATTTCAAGATTTGCCAGCCTTTGGCGTGACTAGTTCAAAGCACTGAAACAAGGGGTTTGCACCAAATCTATTCTCCTCCCAGCCCACTGCATTAAATTACCACATACCGGCTGCTCTTTGGTGATCGCACACATGCGGGCACTCCTGCAGCAATGCAAGCCAACCTCCTCTTTCACATGAGGTTGCAGTGATGAGAAAGAAACAGGGGTGGGTCCCAGAGGCAGGAGCGGAAAGCAGAAAAGGGAGGGAATTGGTCTGAGGAAGACACACATGTAGAGAATGAGGAGGAATTCACAGGACAGTCTCCAGAACGAGGGGATGCAGGGAGGAAAGCAAGTTTTTGTTTTAAAAAAATTAACAGCCCATCTTAAAACACTGAAATTCTGCTTCAGCTACCCAAAAAACCCCTGTATTGGAGAAATGCAATAGTTTTCTCATCAACTGCTAAGAAGCATCAAGAGTAGAAATTACTTCCTGGATCCTTATTCCAACACCCACTGTGAATTCTGGCAATCAGTCTCATCTCTGCGCATCCATTAGTTAGCAACTGAGGCAGGGTAGTCTGAAGCATCCAAGCTGAATTTTCTGCAGTAGACAAACATGAAAGCACGGAACAGAAAAAGGAGGCTACAGGGAAAAGAATTACATTGATGAGCACTTCAAAAAAAATTTTTTTAGGACAAAGAAATAACTCCCAAACACAGATGACTGCCTTACAGCATGAATGAATTCTACTGTTGGCAGTGACAGAAGTACGTACAGCGAAGATTACGTAATTCACTTTGTGATTACAAAAAACCCCACATAATTTTCCTCTATAAATTAATTTCCTTAGCAAAATTTTTACCTACTGAAATACAAATGTAGCAACACTGGAATGATGGACACCTTGCAAAATTCTCCTATCTTTAAGATGACATGGAGTATACTTGCAGCTTTCTTCTTCACACATGAAGCAAGCTTCTTCACAGGCAGCCATTGTTTGCACTAAACTAAGTTCATCAGGTAAAAAATAAATGCGGCACAGAAGTTACCGTTCTAGCTGCCAACACATAAGAAGGATACATAAACCAATGAAATATTTAAAACACAGCACACTGTATTACACATATAATTCTTTTTCATTTCAAGTTTATTAAAACTTTAGCAGTACAAATGATCCAGATTTTAGATTATCAAAAGACCAAACTGAAGTCCACATCTTAAAAAAAGGCGTTCCCCAAAATGTCTCTAAAACTTTGAGACAACGGAAACATTAAGTCCACAAACTCATCCGTGCCTGTCGTCATCTGTTCCAGGACTTGTTTCATGATCAGACTTTTTATCCTTACTAGGGGCATGATCTCTTTCCTGACTCTTTGATTTTTGGTTTATTTCTTTTTCTGCTGAGGATCTGGTCTTTTCCTTCTCTTTACTGCTGCGTGAATATGATTTTTTTGATTCTCTCTCTTTGCTACTCTGTCTCTTCTTTGAGTCTGGACTTCTATCCTGATCTCTACTAGACTTCCTATCTTTACTGGATTCAGGACTGCTACTTTCATGGCTCTTTGAACGCCTCTTCCTTTGGCTTTCAGTATCATTCCTCTTATATGAGCTTCTACTTTCTCTGTTTGAATACCTCTCCCTATTTCTGCTTTGACTTTCCTCCCTCTCTGAGCTCCTTGATTCTCTCCTCCTCCTGTTTTCTCTTCCTCTGTATTTATCTGGTGTACCTCTCCTTTCTCTGCTTCTCGACCTTCCTCTTCTTCTTGCTTCTCGGTCTCTATTTCTGGAATAGTCTTTACTTCTACTGCGGTCTCTGTCTCTGCTTCTCGATCTTCCTCTCCTACCCCTATCTCGGCTTTTGCTTCGATCCCTTGTTCTACTGCTGGAACTATGTTTTCCTCTAGCATGCTCACGCTCTTTGCTTCTTGACTTACGTTTCTCCCTGTCTTTACTTTTCCTATGGTCTTGTTCATTACTTCTTGAGCCCGTCCTTTTACTTCTTTCCTTGCTCCTACTCCTTTCTTTATCTCTCCCTCTAGAATCATAGCGTTTTTCTTTTTCTCTACCTTTCTCATGGTCTCTCTCTTTGCTTCGTGACCGTACTCTCTTTTCATCGTGTCTACTGTGCTTAGAGTCTCTTTCTTTACTTTTTGATTTCTCTCGGCTTTTACTATGGCTTCTAGATTTAGCTCTTCTCTTGGCCTTGCTTTTGCTATGCTTGTCATCTTTTTCCGAATTCCTTCTTGTCTCCCTGTCTTTACTGCTGGATTTGTGATCTTTTTTCTTCTCTTTTTCCCCTCTTCTGCTTGGACTTTCAGAAACTTGTCTGTGGTCTGATATTTTTCTCTCTTTTCCTCTTCCTGGGCTTTTTTGATTATCTTTCTTGTTTTCATTTATTTCACTCCTTGGAGAGAGAAAGATACAATTTTTTAAGTATTTTGAATACCCTCCACTCTGAAAAATTAAGTCAGAAGTGAGACAGCTTCACAACTGAAACTTAAATCACATTAGGTCATCTATATTAGTAACAACATATTTACAGTAGCATGATTAAAATCTGACACAGTTAAGTAATGGGATAACCAAGTCAGCGCCCTGTTTTTTTGGAAGTAACTGTAATTGAAAATTTAAGATGACAGGTATTAGTTTTAATACATAAAAAAATCTCAACACATATACTCTGGAAAGAAATAATCTTACTTGTCCCCTTTTATCCATCTTTCTCCACTAGACACTCTCATTCTTTGAGCTCTTTGCATTTCTTGCCTCCAATGTGGAGGAGTTTCACTGCGTCGGAATCGATCTCTTGACCTGGATCTGGAAGGTGTCCGATAACGCTTGAAGGGAAGAAAAGAAAGCTGGGTGTAAGCTTGAATTTCACATGCTGGGATAGCTAAGCAAGACTTTTAGCCCTAGCCTCTACATTGACATGTTAGGTGCTATGTAAACTTGGTGTATGCAAGTTATTGACTTACTGAAAAATGTATTTGTCATTCCACTAAAGCAGGAATACAAAATGTCTGATCAAATAACTATTTTTAGGGTAACTTCTATTTCAGGACTTTTGTACTCAGCTGAGAGGTCTTCTCCCATCGCTTTTAATTAGCATGAATGCAACTCACTTTTCTAATAATGAAAATTCTACTTCACTTTGGCAAGCAACACCAAAAAAAAAAAAACTTCACACTTTTCCTTTAAGTTTTTTACTAAAACCTTGAGGGATAGAGGCTTCTCTTACTAAAAAGATTTGCTACAAGCAAAATCAGAACAACCAATGTGACAGCTCCCCCCTGCCAAAAAAGGGGGAGAAGTCTTCCTCACGTTCCTGGCACTTACATCGTACTGGTTCTGGTATTTACTAGAATGCTTTTGAACTAATTCCATTCACTAATTCACAGAATACTACAGTACACAAAGAAAGCATTTTTTTGTTTTTTTTTTTTTTTTTCCCCCCCCCCCCCCCCAATAAACTCAGTATGCAAACAGGAAATTTAAATTTATTTTCCTTGTTGTCTTCCCTTCAAGCCTCAGTCCCCAAATTATGATGCCCCATAAATCCTGCCTTTTTTTTTTTTTTTTAATCAACCATCCTAATGAAAATGGTTACTATCACCAGCAGTAAGACTGTCTACCATCTTGTTTATTTTGGGGAACAGATTGTAAACATTTACCCTTGGTCCTCTTCCTTTTATTTTTCTTCCAGATCTGGTCACTAACAGCCTCCTCTGGTATGTTGACTGTGAATTCGATAGATTACTAAAAATAAATTTTAAAAAGTGATATTGTTGATAACATCAAAGAAAAAAGGAAAGAGAAAATAAAAGCAATTTTAAAACCTCTTCAGAAATTAAACTAAATGAAAACACATATTTAATTTTACTTTTTTTTTTTTATCAGCGCAGACAGTAACAACCACACAGTAAAAACTTCGTATTTTGTGACCACAAAACATTTTACAAGATTTCCAGGTTTTTCTGCCTTTTAAAGAATAAAAAGTTACGGGTTCAGATTGGACAGTTCCAATAAATCCTAAATGAAATGGCAATGCATTTTACTTTCTTTTTCTTGAATCAGTCATTTTACATTTTTCATTCACTAAAACCATTTTCAAAGACTAAGCCTTTGTTCTAGGGCAACAGTTGCCCATAAACTCAAAAATCCATTCAGCAGTGCTTGCAATATGGAACTGTTTAATAGGTAAAGGACTCACCTAACACTGGAGTCCTGAAACAGTAACATGACCATACCACCGTCAGTGCATAGTCAGACTCAAAACAGATAAATTACCTTTCTCTTTCCTTCTCTCTGCTTTTCCTCTCTTTTTCTTTCTCATCTACTTTAGGAGGACTTTTCCTCATCAGGAACCTGTTTTCAGGTACAGGAGGAATTTCTTCAGGACGGACAGTAGATAATGGCTGTGCTTCAGGGTTTTCATCTTCACTTTCACTGGATGAACTTTATTTTTGTATATAAAAAAAAAATTATACTTGAAGTGAGTTATTTGGATGAGGGAAGACCTTTCAATCTATTTAAATATTTCAGAAATTCTCTTAATTCAATAAAAAATGATACCACAAAAAACTCAGGAAATAAGAGCTATTTCAGAAGCAACAGGTTTTCTCCCTATGGTATCTTTGCTCCAAAATGTAAAACTGCAGTAGATTTCTCACCAACATTTTTTATCTATGAATTCCACTGGTGCAAGACTAAACATATGTTTACTCTTTATTTAGATACAGTTTTGTTTTTTTTCTTTAAATTTTCTCTTTTAAAAACACTAACAGGAGAGTCAAATTCAGATTTTACACTAGCATATATAACTGGCTACAAACTATTGTAATTCCAAGCAATTGTTATAAACAAACTTGTGTGAAATGGGCTTAGTCCATGGAAATAATGTTTAGGCAGCGTTGCCCTAAATGAACATTTTTTACATTTTACTGCTAGCTTAGAAAAGTGTGACTTGCACTGATTCTCACATTGAACTACAAGCAAAACTATTAGATTAGAAACAACATTTTCAGAAGCAAGAGTGCCTTTTATTATCTGCCAGTAAAACTGCAAGACTTTTGGCATATCAGACAGAAATTATGTTAAGTATGTTAATTCAATAATTTTTTGTTTAGTTTTGCTTTTATTCCTACATACTACATACTCCTAAGTCCCACTGCATATAATTTAAATTGAATTGTACAGAAGTGAATTTAGGGAAACAAGCTATCACCACCCATTTCAAACCAAGCACTCCTACAACTTTTCAAGCCAAACATACGTTAAATCTTAGCCCATTCCTTCACTCCTTTACAAGCTGCAGCACGAATGCACATGGACGCTGTCCTTTGCCATCATATCAGAAAAATTTAAGTTTGTACGTTTGGGAGACTCATTGTCTCCCAAACTTCAAAATAACTACTTCACTAGTTACAGAATACTGTTATGTAATTAGAGGACAAGAAAATGGTACTGAATGGTGTACATGTAACAAAAGAAATCAAATCTCAAAATCGACCTTTTCTTGCTTTTCTTTCTCTTCTTCTTTTCTTTCTTATGTTTTTTGGAATTTTTCTTGTGTTTCTTTTTTCGTTTTTTAGATTTCTCTTCTGAAGCACTCTCAGAATCTGATGTTGAATCAGAAGATGATTCTGAATCACTTGAACTTTCCGAGTCACTGGATGAGGAAGACGACTTGTGTCTTTTCTTTTCTTCTTTCTTGGCTTTAAGACAGAACAGCAAAGGCACATTTTAATATCAAACACTTTAAATAAATCTCAGAAAAATCAACTGCCTGGCTTCTTATAATTGTCATGAGATTACTTCACCAAAATACTCAAGAACAAATCAAAATTTCTGAGAAAACACTGTTTCTCCCAAGCACAAAAGGGTATGTCTAGAAATACATAAAAAATTTCCAACATTTTATATTTACAAAGCTCGAAAGTATAAAATTTATACTCTCAAGAACTTGGAGAATTTTAAGTTTTCAGATGATTTTTATACAACATAAGCTACACATGAAAAATTATTTAAAATTTGTTTAGCAAGTGTTTATAAAAAAAAATTCTTTGGCTTGTTTTAACTTGACTCCATATAAAATCCATTCAAATCACAAGTGAGAAGTTTTAAAACAGAAAATAAGTGGCATAGATTAAACTGATTACTCATTGAATTTAGCTCAGAGGGAGGATTCAAATAATCAACCTTCATGCTAAGTGAAACCATGCTCAGAGAACAGTTCTAATCCTCTAGCTCATCATGTGTTGTTTGGTTTAGGTTTTTTTTTTTTGTTGTTTTTAACAGATACAAGTAACTTACTAACCATCTGGTATAAAAAGAAACCCTGCTAAAGAGCAGGCTAGTCCTTAATTACATATTTCACCATTTCTCATATGACTGCTGGAGCTGCAAATCAGCCACTTACTGGCAATCTGATATTGGTTTGACAGGAAATAATCGAAGAACAAACACATCTTTTAATGCCCTTTAACTGATCTGAAACCTACTTAAACTGTTAAAAGTGATGTGTTATTTCAGAGTCACACTAGTTTGAAAAAAAGATATATATACAATAAAAAAAACATACTGTAAAAACCACTTAAGGAAGTCTAGGCTTCTGAGTTGTGACACTTCAGGAAAATCAGTTACGTGGTACAAATACTCTTCAAATATGTTATGAAATTCCTATCAGGATATTATCCAGAAAATTAAAAGCTCTATCCAGAAAATCCAGAACAGCACGCTAGTTGTCTTTGGGCTGCCGTAGGTGACTAGTCTAATTAGCATCAAATATTATTTTGCTTTGCTATTGCAAATTGCAAAGATAGCCCACCATTCACTACACAACATACTACAGCCACAGACAGAAGAAACGGAACCTTTGCCATTAAACAGAAGAAAAATATACCAAAAATAAATACTGATATCCAAACCGCCTGTTTCCTCATCACAACAAACAATCCGTATTTTAGGAGAATGCCTACTAAGACCTTAGAACAGGCTTCCAATCAGAGACAGAAATGGATTTTAAAATTGCATATGAATCCTAGCTGAAAGTATTAGCCTATTTTGCAAAGCTTTTAATAGCTTTCTCTACCCAAAGAATTCATGGTTTACAGAGATGTTATCTGACCTACATCAGCGCACAAGCAGTTTAAAATGCAACCTCCCATCACCTGCTCTTATTCTGCACAAAACAGGTAAAGGAAAACATTAGGCACCAAAGACAGGATTGTGACTATACAGCCTGTCTGCATCTGAAAACTACTGACACGCAGAAAACACAATGTTTTCACATAGCAGAAAACATACAGATGTCTTCCTGAATAGCCTAGGTTGTTTTCTATTAAAGACAGAGAAATTCAACTGTTTAGTCTAGCCAAGCATTTCTTCTATTGGCTTCTGCTTGTGCCCAACAAGATGATGCTATTGCATGTCAGTCATTGTTATAAAATAATTAAGGCGAGTAATTAGAGAAACTCTGGTAAAAAAAAAAAAAAAAAGGGTAAAAATATGTTATGATAACTTTCCTGTTGAATGATTTTTGTCCTTGCTCTACAGAAAGAAAGTCCTCTTGGGTGTTAAAATAACTCAAGTGTCAAAAGATAAAAGATTTCAAGAACTTCATAAGTAAAAAGCTGATTAATAACCTGTAATGCTTTGAACAGCCTTGATTTTGTACACATGCATGGGAAGAAAAATTCCACTTCAGAATTCCCTGCTAGCAATCTACGATCACACACCACACTTGCAGTTGTCCGGCAAAAAAAAACCTAAAGTGGGAGCAGTACCAAATACTAAGAAGTATCTATTAACAGTTATTCAACTTCTAGTGTGCAGTTATTTGGAAAATCAATCCTTTTAATTCTATATAAGCAGATTAGAAATATAAAGAGAACTTGAGGCAGAGGAAACACTGATATGAAGAGTAGATCTAGCAACTGCTCTTCTGAAAACACAAGTGGCTATGTAATGGAACAGTGTATCAATTATTTGAATTATCAGTATTAGATTCTCCAACTGCTTTGTGAGTATTACCAAACTGACTAACTCTTCAGCGTTAGCAATAATTATCTGTAACTGCAATGTGAAAATTCTCAAATTCAACACTAACTTGATCTCGTTTTTGCAAAACTGCATAATGGGAGGTAGCAGTTTTTCCAAGGGTGATCAAAAGCAATAAAACTGACATAAAATTCCTTGCTCAACTGGTCAGAGAAGAGACTAAAAAGCAGTCGTGGGGATAATGAGTCTTAGTATAATACTTAGGGATGCATTACTTGTAATAAGCAGCTAGTACTTCCTACCAACTTAACTTTTCACAGGAAAAACAATTCTCATTTGGGCTAGAATGATAAAAATCAGTGAGGACAGATTCACAGTTGCCAAAACACATTTCTACTTGTGCTTCAGGCAGCTTCTTTATGATAGATAATGTGCTGTGGGAACTTCATATTGCCTCTTGGAAATTGGACATAACTGAGTATGCTTTGGAGTAGCAAAGTTAAGTGTGGATGTATTAAACCAACTGCAGAGACAGATAGGTTCCTAATGGAGAAGAGAGTCAGCATTTCTCAGAAAAGCAACAATTAAGCTTTCATTCATAGCATCATCTCTTAATACTAATGTTTGTTCTCTATAGTTATTGAAGGTAAAACAGTGAAATCTCAAATATTTTGTCCTATTTTACTCCTGTCAATCCATCTTCTCAGCTACCATGTCTCACCCAGAACACCTGCTGTCTGTAGACAGTGATGCACTGATGTTCTAGATCTATCAGCAGCCTTCAGCATTGTTCCAAAGTTTTCATGACAATATCCATAACGAAAGCTAAGGCAGTACTGTTCTTTATCTTCAGTAAAGTCAAAGCTGGTAGCATTAGATCATCTGTGTAAGCCAACACCTCTTTTGTAGCAATCCAGTACTGTACTCGTCAGGTCTCCCGTTCAGCATGCAGTGATATGTACACAGCAGTGAAAGATTTCCTCTTCACAGCGATGCAGAACACTTGCTTCCGAAAGAATTGGCTGAGAAAAGATCTGGATGACAGCAAGCTAGCTGGGGCTTGACTCAGGTAACAGTGGATCAGATATGTCGTGCAGAAAAATCTCAGCAGAAACAACTAAGTATGGCATCTTGGCCTCTCTTTCTGTGGTCATGCTCTTTATTGGATACTTTTTTCTCCTTCTAACGTTACCGAATCCTCACACTGGTACAGTGGATGAAATTTAATCTTATTGCACTAATTGCATTAATTTTTCAGATTACCATCACAGACACACTGTATTACTTCTACACGGACTTTTTTCATGGTGTTTTCTATGTGTTTACTCACAAGCCTCCTTTGATGCAGACTAAAGTCTGACAACCAACTGAAACTTCTGGGTGCAGTATAAACTAGCAAGTTGTCTTACCCATTTAGGACAGCCTGCTGATTGAAATCAGCTGCTTCTCATCAGATCTTTTTAGAGCTTCTTGCAAAACACTTCCAAAAGACAGGCGTCGTATCTTTTACTTCCCTTGTTGGTCCAGACCAAGATACTTGGACTCTTTTCTCAAACTTTTGCTCTATGTCCTTATTAAAGCACTATATTAATAAAAAGTCTGTAATATTTTGTAACAGTTTCAGATTGTCTAAATATACATACATTCACAGAGTGTAACAAGTACATATTTATATAAGAAAATCGAACAGTTTCCAAACTAATTTCAAAGGAACCTGGTGTCATGTAGGCCTGGTGACACCCAAACAAAAAGAGGAATCTCACCTGAGCTCTAAATACCATGAACACAAAAAGTACTGAAAAAAATAACTGATTTCTAAGTCCCAGGACACTTTCAAATGCTTCTTACCTATTCAACACTTCTGGTTTTGGCCACTCAAAAAATACACTATATTGCACTATAGAATCATAGAATCATAGAATGTTTAGGGTTGGAAGGGACCACTAGTGGTCATCTAGTCCAACCCCCCTGCAGTGAGCAGGGACACTGCTAACTAGATCAGATTGCTCAGAGCCCCATCCAACCTGGCCTTGAATGTTCCCAGGGATGGGGCCTCCACTACCTCTCTGGGCAACCTGTTCCAGTGTTTTACCACCCTCATTGTAAAAAATTTCTTCCTTATATCTAGTCTAAACCTACCCTGGTTTAGTTTAAAACCATTTCCCCTTGTCCTAACACAGCTGGCCCTACTAAAAAGACGTTCCCCATCTTTCCTATAGGCCCCCTTTAGGTACTGGAAGGCCGCAATCAGGTCTCCCCGTAGCCTTCTTTTCTCCAGACTGAACAAGCCCAACTCCCTCAGCCTGTCCTCATAGGAGAGGTGCTCCAGCCCTCAGATCATTTTTGTAGCCCTCCTCTGGACCCGTTCCAACACTTCCATGTCCTTCTTGTGCTGAGGGCTCCAGAGCTGGACGCAGTACTCCAGGTGAGGTCTCACCAGAGCAGAGTAGAAGGGCAGAATCACCTCCCTCGACCTGCTGGCCACACTTCTCCTGATGCAGCCCAGAGTACGGTTGGCCTTCTGGGCTGCCAGCGCACATTGCCGGCTCATGTCCAGCTTTTCATCCATCAGTACCCCCAAGTCCCTCTCGGCAGGGCTGCTCTCGATCCTTTCTTCCCCCAGCCTGTATTGATACTGGGGGTTACCCCAACCCAGGTGCAGGACCTTGCACTTGGCCTTGTTGAACCTCATGAGGTTCACACAGGCCCATCTCTC